TTTGCCCACCGGAACAAGAAAAGTTCAGCCTCTGATGCATTCCTGATGATGAAACAACAAATGCATAACTGAGTACTCTCACGTTTATTTCCTTCCCAGTAATCACTTCAATACGTGACTTTCGGACATCACACACCACCTGCATTCTCCCTCACTTTACCGCGATGGGGTCCAAGAGAATTCCTCGGTAGATGCAAGAAGCGAGGATTGTGCGTTGTGAGAGAGAGAATGACATATACGAGTAATGTGTATAGTGTGGATTATGTAGATGAGTGTTCTTAGTGTGTGAATAGTACAGTTGGGGTGTGAAACTCGTGGTCTCAACAGACTCTACCAAAAGATAATACCACAATTAATTATTTCCATGTTTTTTTATTACAGCATTGTTGAATAGGACACTTCTTCTGAGAAATCGACCTTTTAGATTCTCTCACTCGCGGTGTTAAAGGGGCTACTTAGTATGCACAATCCGTGGAGTAAACAACGGAGGCAGTGCGTTAGGGTATCGCGACTTTGCTGATGGGTTCAAAATTTAGGACCTTTGTGCGCTAGTATATTCCACCACAGGGAAAACTCTTTAGAATTAATTAATTTAATCTGCCTAGCAAATGAAAGATAAATTCGGTGGAAGGCCAATGCACAATATTCATCAGAAGAGCAAAGGATAGCATTATATTTAGAATTTGTATAATACATTCTCTTGCACATTTTATAGAAATAATATTATGTTATCCAGCAGATTTTGTGCTCGTCTTTTAAGGGAGTCGGAGATATAGAGCACAATGAGGTTATTATAATACTAAACCACAATGCCACAGCAAGAGAATCACAACTATTACATATGTCGTCAAAACAATCTTATAGTCCTTTTGCTCAGAAATGTTATAATTTCATTTCCTATTGAGAAGAGGGAGAGTGGGAATCTTAGGCTAATGTTGAAAGGCCGGAGAATAGGTATTGGCATTAAGGGGAGTTGAGAGGAGGGATACAAGAGACAACGGATGATTTAATATATGAGACACATACATAGCCATGATTGGAAATGGTTGTAATTGAGTTGAATGGAGATATACAACAATGGTTTATTTGGGGGAATAGTTTTAAGTTTCTGACATTGGGTTAATTATTTTATTATGTAGTTATTTGTTAATTTGCGCCCATAATATGATAATATAATAATTTTTAAAGGTGCATCCCAGGTTATCAATTAAAATGGTCGATGGTTAAATAGCTCATGAATACCGCAGCTTTTGTCTGAGCTGTCCAGTGGGAATTGAAAAGATGGAAACAAATTAATGTTTTGAAATATTATAGGAAGGTATGTGCAGCTCTCTCCAGAAACTAAACCCCAGTAACAGCAAAATTGGGTAGCAGTTACTTTGGTAAAGACCGGAAAAACAGTTCCCAAAATAAACATCAACACCATGACTAGACAGTGAACTTAGCCCCTGTGTTATAAGCGTTTCCAGCAGTTACAGACCAGAAAGTTGAACCCTTCCCAGTTTTTCATTAATCTTCAACTCTACGATACCTCAATTCAATACGTTCTGCAGCCTCCAAGTTTGGGATATGCGTCTTTGCTGGAGCCAGTGATGCGTGACATTATACTGCAAGTTAAGCTGCTTTCACTGGCTGCACAGTTTTGACTCGTCCATAGCAGAAAAACAATGGCACACTAAAATATGTTTCTGGAACGATTTTATGTGAGAAATAGGCAATGCAGTAACAGAATCTTGCTTCATATTTGATCAGCACTGCCTAGATTAACAGTTTAATCTAAGTTTCGTGTAGTTTGCTGGACAAACTCACTGAGAATGACTTGTCAATCACAAGGTAGCCACATTTCATTGGCTCAACATCGACTGGATGAGAGACCGACCACAGCAGCGCAGCAGAAACAGCGAGCTGTTAGTCTGAGCTAATGAGCAGCTGCCCACACTGGAAACACAGAGTCCACTAGAGTTTTTAGCCCCTCGAAGCACTTTGACAATAATTTGTACAAGTTTCTGTACCCAAGGACCACGGATCTGGTAGGGCCGGAGCCCTATCTAACTTTGAACATCAAACGTAAAAAAAATTAACAAAAATTCTTCGGTAGCCACTTTTTTAATCATACAATCTATGGTAGCCATATATATCATACTCTGTGACCACAGCCTGTGCAAGAGCAATATATTCTGCTGCCTAAAAATGTATTGGCTAATTGTGTCATGGGATGTAAATTAAACATTTCTCATTCAAAATTGGTGACCTGGCGCTGCCCTTCTCCTTGACACTGTGGTGCTGATGCGCCTGACCAATTTGAAATGTGTTCCACAGATCATGGTGGTACGTGTGTTGTTGCTAAGCTAACGGCTATGTTGTAGCTAAGCTAGCAGCTCAGAGAGGCTAATTCTCCGGTATGTGTGTGTGTTGGGGGGACTGTCAGTGTGTGGGATCAAGGTAAACACTGCAGTCCGGTGGTGTTTCTACAGCTGTCTAAAGCACGAACCACTGAGCCAGAATGGAAAAATACTAAGGTTAGCAACAACTAGCATAAACTCCTGTCAATGATACATCTCAATCAGTATAGCTGCAGTTTCACAGACTCCCACTCAAAGCGAAGGCTGAGGGAGGTGGGCTGCCCTCCTCTGATTAAAGGGCGTTAGCATTGTTTTTTTATATGTTATGACTAAGAGTCGCCCCAGCATTTGTCTTAAAACCTACAGGTTGTGTTAAAACAGTAGAGGGCGCATTGAGACATTTTAACCCACAAAATGCAGATTTTATTTATTTGGTAATAATCTAAAATTCGAACACCTACAGTGATGTGTTTAATCACAGCATAGTCATATAATTCAGTTTACAGCTCAGAACACGTTTTAGGGTGGAGTACTTCTTGTGAATAAAAATATGCTGACTTTGGATGGCAGTGCAGTCTACTGGTACTGTTCACACTGACTACTTGAGCAGCGTGTGACTGGCTGAACCGCTGCGGTTCGCCTGAGGTGATCACACAGAGTGCTTCTGGTGCAGAACTGCTGCTGCGAGTCCTGTCTTTTTTGTCTGAGTTTTTCTTTGATAATCACATGATTAACTGATTTTTAAAGTAATTTCTTTCCCTTAGGGGCTCTGTAAATTTGTGTTCACGGTTGGGTTTTATTTGCGTTTCCATCGGCAACTTGATGAAATGTATCAATTCAGCTATTCAGCTATAGTAAAATAATTGTTGCGTGTCAACAAACAACGGCTCTCAAACCTCCACAGATACAGTACATCAGGGTCATTGTGCTGTGTGCA